AGCTGGAGAAGACCAAAGTCAACAACAGGTACACGACACTATTCAAGCAGCTGAATCTATAGAAGAGGCCTAGTTTCTCTCTTGCTGTTTTGGTTACAAAAGCACTAGAAAGTGCATGGCTTCTCCATCGTACTCGACATCAATGTGTATGCTGGTTAAGTGTATTCAAAGGGAAATATTCTTTTTTTCTTAAAGAAATCGTTTACTCAAAAAGGAAAATTGGCTGAAAATGTACTCGCCCTCAGGCCATCCAAAATGTAGACGAGTTTGTATCTTCATCAGAAGAGATTTGAATTTAGCATTACATGACTTGCTCACCAATGAATCCTCTACAGTGAATGGGTGCCGCCAGAATGAGTCCAAACAGCTGATAAAAACATCACAATAATCCACATGACTCCAGTCCATCAGTTAATGTCTTGTGAAGGCATTTTAACTTTAAACCGTTGCTTCTGGCCAAAATGCGAGTCTATAATCAAAAATAAACTTCCAGCAAGTTTTCAATTTTGGGTGAACTGTTCCATTAAAGAATAGTTGACTCAAAAGTGGAACTTTTAATTTACCCAGCCTCATTTTTTGGTATAGTAAATAGTGGCTCAAACATTCACAACATTCAAAATACAAATTTTGAGTAACGTAAGAGTGTTGATTTGACTATAATGATATGAGAGAACAGTGAAGAAGCTATCTGACCTTGTTGAATGGTCATGTGATTGTGCCCTTGGACTCTTCTGCAGTGTTTTGGTCACATGATCATGCCTCATCCAATCCGAAGCAGTTACTATATCTATGATTGCCACAAGATGTTGTATTTAGCTATTAGAATGGAATGAGCTCTATGGAAAGCTCTTTCTGCTTCAGTGAAGCATTTGAATTAACTTTATCAATAGACGTGCTGAAAGGAAAGTAAGCGATATTGGGTCAAAAATTACGTTTCCATTCCATCCCAGTGGAAATTATGAGTATGTTTTGGTACAAATAAAATAAAAATTAAAATTACATGTCTCCTCTTTCTGTAAAGCTGTCCTAATTCCTCTGAATGTGAATTCCTTGTTTCTGTGTGTCCTGTTTGTCTCTGCCTTTTTCTCTCGTGTGCCGTGTTGTCTACTTTTATGTACTTGGCCTGGTCTTAACACTGGTATGGTAACACTGCAGTGTGTTCTGGCTCTGTATGAGTGTTATTTTTCTCCTTTTTACCACTCTCTCTGTTCTCTCCTGCTTCGCTGCTCTCCTCTGGGACTCCCAGGGTGCTGGATGAGGATTTCTACAAACAACCCTTCGCTGATCTGATTGGTTATGTGTATGTTGCTAAACTAACATCCTTTCTTTTCACATGCATCTCAGTAACTCCTTTTCCTGCATCTCAACTTTTTTTCATCACCTGTTCCTCTTACACATTTCTAACCAAACTTTTGGTTAACTTCATATTAAAAACAGGGTGATTATTTATTTATTTATTTTTTTAGACTAATTGGACAGATAATTCTGCACACTATGCATGTTGTCCATTTTTTTCCGCCCCTCCCTCATGTTTGTTACATATCAGATTTTATATCCATCTTGCTCATTCAGTCTCGTCTCATTTGTCACATTTGTATTTTTTTCTTGTTAATTTTTCTTGATCATTTACAAAATGTTTAACCATTTTTTGTCGTTTGTTTGTGTCATGCATTTGTCACAATGTCTGCACTTTCTTGATATTCAAGATATGTCTAAACATTTGTATAAATTAGTCAATGTTATTTATTGTCTAGCATTAATATTAATTGATATTATTTATTATACTAGTTGTATTTAGTGCAGTAGTAGCGTCTCTGTAATACAGCACTAGTGAATTTCTAAGCAACTACGTGTCTAGCCAGTCAATAAATAAATAAACCAGCCAGTGGTGCAATTGCTAAAAATGTTTTTCCCTCTTATGTTTTTTTTTTTTTAATTATTAATTTTAATGTGTTACCAAAGTTTAACATCTTTTTTTTTTAATCTTTTTTTATCACTTTATATTAAGGCACACTATATCTTTTATTTATTTATTATAACATTTTTATTTATCTTTGATATCTTAATATTACATTATTGGTTGGCAAGACTGTCAATTAGTTTTGTTAGTGACTTCCATTTGTTGGCTGATTCCAATCTCAACATGGTCAAATGTTTAGTTGATTTTTTTTTTTTTTTTAATAAACCGACTTGGAGACTTGGTGTACCTTTATCTCATGGTTTGTACTTTGGCCGGACACCTAGTTGCTTCTGTTAGATGGAATATTTTAGAGTACGGTGTGCCTAGATTGAGCAAAGCTGTCCCAGACTAGAACTGTAACTGTCCTCTTAGTTCTGCAGCCCTCATCATGGACCTCTTACCGCTTCTGCCTATTCTGCAGATGATATTGAATCGACCACATTTTAAAAAACGATATATCGAAAAATCAATTTTTTTGCCCAGCCCTATCTGCAGATCTATTATAAACATTAGCTGCTTTTCTTTTGCTTGGTAAATGTCTCTCAACTGAAGCGCCAGTTGAGATACATCAATGACGGCTGCAAGCTAAGCGCACTTAGAAACACTCCTAAGATGACTTGGGTTTTGAACAGTGCATGCCTGCTTTGGTCATCTGCATAAATCTCATTTCTTTTGGTTTTCTATATATCTGACTTGTGATCTGTTTCTCCTTGTTTTTCTTTTCTCTATGCACCTTTAAGCACTCACATTAACCATCCTTGCTACCGCCTAGACCAGTTAAGTAAAAAAAAAAAAGTACAAAAAGAAAAAATAAAGACAAGACAACCAAATATGCTCAGGGAACAAACACCATTTATTGCCAATTTCTACACTAATGAATTGCTGTTTTTATTATCAACATGTTTCTGCTAAAAATAAGATTCTGGATGTCCTTTTGTGGTTATGTGTTGGTGCACTAGTCCTGTGCGTTGATGTAGTTGATTGTGACCGTGATTTACCTCATTGGCTTTTCATACCCATTTTGCTGTGTATATTGTGTGATAGTGGAGAGGCTAATGCAACTCTACTGGACTGAGTCCACAGCAGCGGAAAGGGTTGGTAACGGGCCGGGAGGAAACGGGAATAGTCGAATATGGTCTCCAAAATCTCTCTGAAGATTTTTTTTATTATTTTTTTTTATGTTAAGAGCTCTTTAGCGTTTGGCTTGCCAGAAACTTGGTTTAGTTCCCCCATGCTCAGCAGAAGGCCCCGCTTTTGGTCACTGCCAACGCATGGCACTTTCAGCCTTTGCACAAAGATTTAGTGGTTAAAATACGCTAATTGGCCTGTCAATCGCTACGTTGAAGCCAGGCTCATTAGCGTACACGATTCCTTGACATTCCTCCTACCGTCAAGAAATGAGGAATGTCCCACAATATAAGGACTTTCAAAGTACAACAAATTGTTTTAACCAACTGAATCGCTGCAAAATTTCATTGTGGCTGTTCTGGAACCTTTTCCTGCCTTCAGGATCAAGACTAGTTCTGGTAATGGTGGGTTGGGGGCATGATGCTCAAACTACCATCTGTTTTGGATGTGGTCACCTGAAGAATGTCTCTATGAATGTGTTCTTGTTGGATGTAAATAACCATTGAGTTTCACCCAGACACAGAGCTGCTTTGGTACTCTTGCCTCTTACCTCCTAAAGAAGAACCTCAGGAAACATTTTAACCAATTTTAGAATCTCCTTTTGGTAAACGCAATTTCAAAAACCTGTGAGTTTGCTGGAAAGTAATTTTTCAGTCATCTTTTTCTCATGATGTAAACATTCAGGAGGTCAGCGGTTGTGTGCTTAAGCGGGACGTGTCTGAGAGTGTTTCCGGTTTCTGTCCCAAGCTGATTGTGATCTCTCATCGGCAGGGCGGCCGAGGAAGCCATGGTGTCTGAGCTGGATGAGAACAGTCCCGGCACGGAATGGGAGCGTGTGGCGCGCCTTTGCGATTTCAACCCCAAGACTAGCAAGCAGGCCAAGGACGTCTCCCGCATGCGTTCAGTCCTCATCTCTCTTAAACAGGCCCCGCTCGTTCGCTAAGCTCCGCCTCTGGAGTCTTTTAAAACCACAAGTCCCAGCAGCCATTGATTGATTCCTTTGTGGTCCCATCCCAATGGTTTTGAGCTCAATTTCCATATATAAATAATCAATATTATATTATAACATAATATGATATGGGTTTATCTATATATGTTTATATATATATATTTAATCTATAAATATATACATATATATATAACAATGTTGTTCAGATTGTTTTTATTTTTGGTGTCTATTTTAAGGACCAAACGCCATGTTCATTTTTCCATGTAGAGACGGTGTGTGGCATTGTGACACTATCAATCTATGCATTTCCCTCATAAGCTGGTCGGGAATACAGTACTAAACGTCTTGTGAATGTTGTATACAGATGGTGGATATTAGCCTGTGTGTGTGTGTGTAACTATGTACATAAAGACTGGTCCTCTACACTTCATTGTGAGATTATGGCACAAGTTGTTGAAGAACAGAGCTGCACCCCAGTGAATGTCGCCTCATGTTTTCCATTCTGTTTCAGTATGATTAAACACGTTTGAAAAGTGACACATGCATGTATATATTTAAGAAAAATATGTTACGTTTACATATTAAATATACTTATATATGATATAATTTATATGAATATATACATGTAAATACATGTAAATATTTTCAAAATATATGCTGTATGTGTGTGTCTTTTATATATATATATATATATATATATAAAATAAATATACACAGTACACACACATATGTAAACAAAAACTTTTATGTTGGATACGATTAATCGCGATTAATCGTTTGACAGCACTACATTAAATATATTTTGTGTTTCACATTAGAAATACGGTGTCAAACTCAATTCCTAGAGGGCCGGAGCCCTGCAGAGTTTTGTTCCAACACTGCTTCAACACACATACCATGTAGCTTTCAAATAAGCCTGAAAGACTTGATTAGTTGGATCAGGTGTGTTTAATTAGGGTTGAATCTAAACTATGCAGGGCTCTGGCCCTCCAGGGATTGAGTTTGACACCCCTGGTCTATGAGAATGCAGTTATTTGTAACCTGTTGTTTGGCACGTCTCTGAGCGAGCGCACACTCTTTGCGCAGTGCTTCCATGTCTCTGTGCAGTTGCTGGCTCTCTTGCTGCAGCATGAGTCTCTCCTCACTGATGGCTGTACTCTCCTGTCTCGCACTCGTCAGCGTGGACTGCAGCCTCCGCACCTCCTCCTGACAGCGCGACAGCTCCTCTGAATACCTACACAAGCACAGGAGAGGCAGCAAACTATTATGAATGCACCTTTATGTTTGCCCTCTGTCTAGTTTATGAGAGTGTGTGCATGTTCTCACTCCATCTCCATCTTCTTCATCGTGTTTTTAGTGCTGTTGAGTGTGAGTTGCATTTCGTCCTTCAGTCGTTCAGCATTTAAACATCTCTGATGGAGAGCGTCCATCTTCCTCATCTCAGGCTCTCCAACTCGGCCCTCTTTATAGACCTACAACACAAACACAATTTTTTGAATTTGATCAAAAATTCAATAAACAGTTATTATTAAAATTTAAAACAGCTGTTTTCTATTTGCACTGTCACATCATACCTAATAACACTCCTTAAAGGGCTAGTTCACAAAATTGAAAACTCTGTCATCATTTACTCACACTCATGTTCTAAATCAATAAGAGCTTTCTTTCTACTGTTGAACATAAAAGAAGATATTTGAAGAATGCTGGTAACTAAACAGTTAACGGTAGCCATTGACTTCCATGCTGTTAACTAAACAGTTAAAGGTAGCCATTGACTTCCACTGTATTTCCATACTGTCAATCGCTGCCGTCAACTGTTTGGTTACCAACATTCTTCAAAATATCTTCTTTTGTGTTCAACAGAAATTTTTGGGGGTGAACTATCCCTTTAAATTTGATATCACCACAGCAACATACAGCCTTAGTACATTTAATTATGGGAGTAAAATTTGTGCATTTATTTTCACCTTCTCCAGCTCCTCTTCCACAGCTTTTCTCTCCCGATGGGCTCTTTCAATCTGTGTCTCTTTATCGGCACATTCCTACACGCACAACCACAGCAGAAATATGTTGATTTGCAATGGTGACAGTTGTAGCTATACACATCTGTACATATGCTGATGAATGTGTCACCAGTTGCAGGCCAGAAAGCTCCTCAGCCATACGATGAATCTGAACGTTACACTGCTTACGGACACTCTCTACCTATAAAAGGAGGAAAAGAAAACATTCCGAATTATGAGCCACACTCAAAGATGCAAATAACAATATATATATATGTACACTGTGATCACAGATTAGCTGAATGTCAAAGCACTAAAATTAGAAACTAGAATGACGCTGATTTGACTGTGCCATAACCATGCCATGCCAGTGCTAACAGTCAGGCTATTTTTAGCTATAGAGCTCTACAGGGTTCAAGGAAGTACATTTGCTTTTAATCTTTAATGCTGTTAAAGATCGTGGGAAAACAGGGTTTCTGCAGGATTTTTAAGCTCAAATTTAAGACTTTTTAAGACCTTTTTTAAGACCTGCACAAATAAAATTAATACAATATGAGCAGGGTAGGGCAATGTCTATAGTACCATATTCATAGGCTTGCCAAAATTCATAGGCTTGCCAAAGAGAGACAGACCTTTTTTAAGACCTGCACAAATAAAATTAATACAATATGAGCGGGGTAGGGCAATGTCTATAGTACCATATTCATAGGCTTGCCAAAATTCATAGGCTTGCCAAAGAGAGACAGACAACAGGATGGAGCAATTTGATAAAATGTTTGACTTTCAATTCAGATGTTCAAAAGAGACTCTTCTCGACAGGTAAGCTAAACATAAGCTTTTTCCACACACTGATAAAATAGTAAGATATTGTGATGGATAATAACATTGGTAAGAACATGGTAGGCTTGTTTGAAACTATGCTTTATTTAAAAGCTAAAATAGTTCCTAGTTCCTGTAGTGCCAACACGCCAAAAAGTGAGTGCTTCCACCAATAGTTATAAGAACTATAAAAATGCTTCTCATGGTGCCAAAAATATTATCTAGGTAGGCTCACTAGGGTTGGAGCAAAGCCTAATTTAACGTGTCTGAGAGTAGACCTGATGCCGTATTCTGTTGTCTCCCTTTGAAAGTTCAAGAACATTAGCAGTGATCACCTCTTTCCTGGTGCGCATGGCAGCATCCTGGATCAGCTGCTTCATGGCATCTTTCATCTTCTCCAGCTCTTCTGTTCTCTGTTTCTCCCTCAGCTGAGCCTAGAGTAACATATAAACACAGCAAAATGATTTTAGACTGAGAAGTCAGGTACGTATAGAAGAGCTCTTGAATTGGGCCTGTGCGGTGCGTTTATTTGGAGCGTGACCTGTTCTCTCTGAAGCGAGGCTTCCTCAGCCAGCTGGATAGAGTTGCGGAGGCGACTGAGGGCTTCAAATTTCTCCTCTTCCAGAGAGGCGCAGCGACCCTGCAGGTCTCCCACTTGCCGCTCCCAATCCGTCTGCTTCCTGCGCACTGACTCAGAGTCCTGCGTTGCAGCTTTGAGTCTGAAAAACAAAACAAAACATAAATAAAATAACATACATCCATATTTTCAATAAGAATTAAAAAAGGAAACAATCTATACAAACTCCTTTGCAAAAAAACAAAGTCACATTATTACATACTTGCATGTTTATTAGTAAAAATAAATGCAGTAATATGTGCAAATATTTTTTTGTATATCTTTTCTTTTTTGGAGGCTGGGTCAGTTTTTTTTTTAGTTGTTTTAAAACTTCAGATGTACATTACTGTTTAAAAGTTTGGGGTTGGTTTAAAATGTGTTTTTTTTTACGTTTTTAAACATTTATGCTCACCAAGACTGCGTTTATTTAATCAAATATACAGTAAAGTAGTATAATATTATACTGTAACAGTACATAAAAACAGTAGTATAATATTGTAAAATATTATTGCAACTCAAATGAGCTGTTTTCTATTTTAACATATTTTAAAATTAAATGTATTTAATTTATTAAGTCTGCTGAATTTTCAGCAGCCTTTACTCCAGTCTTTAGTGTCACATGATCCTTCAGAAATCGTTATAATATACTGATTTGAATCTCAGAAAACATTTATTATTATTATTATTATTAGGGATGCATGATATTGGATTTTTGCCGATATCCGATAATTTTCAACTCATTTTGGCCGATAGCCAATGCGATACCGATATATAGTTATTTTTAAATTTTGGTTAGTTTTTAACAGGAACTTATTTGTTAGAATTAAATAAATACTGCTTTATTTAATCAGAAACACAGTCTAAATATTATTTGTGTATTTTGCTTTAATTTTATTAGAAGTAGGCCAACAGTATGGTAATCCAAAAGCCTATGAAAAAATCCCATTGGCTTTTTGCCGAGGGAACCAGTGATGCTAACAGCCGATCCGCATACAAAGTGACGTCATTGTTCCCCCACTCTATTACTGTTTACTCTATCACACACCGAACGTGTCATTCTGTACGTGCATTCTCAGTTTAAATACAGCGATCCAAAACAGGGAATCCAATCACCATTCAGGCAAAACTTTGCTTCAAGAATGAGCCACAATGCTGACTTGATCTAATCGCTAGCACACCCTGAGCACATGTGAGTTAATGTATTCCTCTTATCGGCAAGACATATCGGCATAAGTTTTCAAATCGGGCTGATGCCGATATTTACATTTAAAGCCATTATCGGCCGATTCCAATATTGGTCCGATAATATCGTGCATCCCTAATTATTATTATTATTATCAATGTTGAAAATGGCTATGCTCCTTATTTTTGTGTAAATCGTGGTATGTTTTATTCATTATTCTATGATGAATAGAAAGCTCAAAAGAACAGCATTAATTTGAAACAAATCTTTTGTAACATTATAAAATGGTCTTCACCATATTATTTGATTAATTTTATGGATCCTTGCTGAATTTAAGTGTTATTTCTTAAAAAAAAATCGTATTGACTTATTATTAAACTTCACCTGGCTTCTAGCTGCTTCAGTGCTGCTTGTAGTTGCTGTAGTCTCCGATCAGATGCTTCTTCTCTACCCTGAGCTTCTGCTGCGTCCTCTTCCTGCACCATTACACAAACATGACATTATTAGAAAATAATTACATAAGCACAATAATAGCAACATTAACAGTGTATGCAAGCTGTCTGTCTCTCACCCTCCTCTGCATCTGATCCTGGACATTCTGCAGGAGTCTGGTCATCTCCTCCACTTTAGTCGCAGAAGATCTCTGCTCAAGCTTTGCCTGCCTGAAACATCACACACACACACACACACACACACACAAACACACAAACACACACACACAGCTGATCTTTTTAGTACTTTCTAAATTTTGACCTTTTTATTTCTTCTTATTGATAGAATAGTAAGATGACAGGAAAAAAATGCACCAATCTTAGAAAATCAGAAAGTTTTAGAGGCATTTCAAAAGCAGTGAGAAAACCCATTTTCAGACTTCTGGAGTAAATGTGACTGCACTAAAGTTGTGTTAAAATCATGATAAACACACGGAGCTGACTGAATTATAAACATATGAGCCAAACAGAACTCGAGTCAAGGTTAAGTCTTAAAGGGTTGGCCACCTGGAACGCTACCTGAGTTGGCTGCGTAACTCCTCCAGCTCACTGCTCTGTTCCGCCACCGTCTTCAGGAACTGCTGATTGGTCTGAGTGTGACAGGACAGACATGAACGCCGGCCGGGCATTACGCCAAACACACACACTTCAAAGAAATTCGCAAGGATAAAGGAAGAAGGACAGGATGGAGGGGTTTTGGAGGTCGAGATGGGATAGGTGTGAAAAAGGTGGGTGTGTGAGAGCTACACTGCTTATTAAATATTCACGAATAGAGTAGTATTTCTCCTCAACCAACACACACACACACACACACACACACACACAGGCTAAACAATGAACAACACTCAGTCAAACAGGTGGCGTTCTGACTAGTGTGAAAAAAGCATGTGACTAAGACAGCACAAGGATTAGGCCTTTAAAACCTTTGCATAACAACTCACTGTACATGGCCATGATATCACTAATGAAACCCTTTCATAAACATGTAAAATGATATTTCTCAACATTTTTTGATAAAACCATTTTCAGTGGGAAAAGTGGATTGATTTTATCCACCTGATCCATTGGATCATGAAACGTGGCTGATGACATATATAAGGGATAAGGTACAGGCCATTATCACAAAATAAAAAGAGTTTATTCACCAAATAAATACATAAACATAAAAAATATGGTAATGATTTAATTATGTGAGAACAGACAACAAAAAAAGTAAAAAAAATAAAATAAATTATTTCAAAGGTGGAGAAAATTACAACATTTTGTAAAAAAAACAAAAAACATGGAAGATTATTTCATTAGAATAAATCTGATGAAAACAATGGACCCGCACAATATAAACAGGGGAAAGTACAGTAGATCTTCTCCCAGTTTCACAGACAAGGCTTAAGCCTAGTCCCAGACTAAAATGTATATCTGGGCTGTTTTAACTGAAAGAAATTTGCACTGACTGATCTTAAAATATATCAGTGCCGTTGTTTTGTCTCAAGATGCACACAAGCAAAGTTATTTTCTAAGGCATGTTTATAAAAGATACTTAAATGTCCTTACTGAACTATGGCCTAATCCTGGCTTAACCTAAACCCTGTCTGTGAAACCAGGCCTTAGATTTTAACCAGTATTGTTTACATAATGAAAGAGGAAGTCTTACTGATTCCAGCTTCTGATTGGTCAGCTGGAACTTCTGGCTGTGTTGCTGAACCTGCGCTAGCTGATTCTGAAACAGCACAGTGATTGTCAGTAAGAGCACAGACAAAGCATTTCAATAATTAATTAATGTGTATTATAATAAGCTTCAAGCCACAATTAAGCCAATATTTTACAGCCAACAGCTAATACTGAATTCATATATTCAAATAATTCAGCCCAGCATGCCTGCTGGTTTATGTATAATTGTTGGAAAATGCTGCGGGTCTGTTTGTTCTGTTAACTGTGACTGCATGTAGTTAAACACTGCCCTCTAGTGTTCAATCATCATATTACCTATTCTTGAAATAACTGAGAAAATTAAAGAGGATACTGAATTGTTTTCAGAAACCAAATAGGAGTATGGCCACCAAATATGTGCTTATCGATGTGCTTATGCTTATGTGTGTCGAGTTTAAAAAGAAACCTATGACCTCCTACATGCATTATAAACAGACTGAACTTGAACATGTGAAAGTGTTAGTATGTAAACACCGTAACCTGCATGTGTTGCCGTTCAACTGCGTGTATTTGTCCGTAACTTATGGAGCTCTGGTACTGGGTCTGCAGTCGATCCAACTCCTGTGAAGCTGTCTGCCACATCTGAAGAGCCCGTTCTTTCTCCTGGAGACACACACACAGAACAAATCAAATTGAAGGTTAACAGACAATGATTGTGGCCTTCCATGAATGTGCATCTAAACCTCTCTCTGAATACCACTGCTATCTGAGACGCAATGTTAACTGAAATTAACTGACAAATTTATACTGTAGCTCAACTTGTAGAGAATTTAATTATGATGCTAGCAATGTCAAGGTCAAGAGATTTATTGGCAGAGAATACACATATTTCTCTTGCACATTAAAGCATAAAGGAGGAAAAATAAATCATGTTTATTGAGATTTGCTTAATTACAGTAACTGCACTAACAATTATATTTTGGTGCAAATACACTGAATGCAAGAGATTTTATAACTACAGCAATTAAAGGTTTTAAAAGTTTTAGCTATGACTCAGAATGCATTTAAATTTCATTTTGACGCAAATTGACTTGTGTTTTTATAAAAACATTTCAAAATGTAAAATGTCCGTGAATACTCCTGAGTATTAATGCAAATGAACTGCTGAATTCAAACCGTTTCATTAAAACGGACAGTTTGCAAAAACCGATTTGCATGAATGAATCATATTCCCAGATCTATCACCCTTTTTTGCTAATGAGTTTTAAACCAGAGATGCTATTAAAATATTTTAGTCTTAATGCTCTCATTCTTTTTGCAAAACAAGTAGTGGGAAAACTAGCACACAGTTTGCAAATATTCACAATATTGCTTATTTGATATTAGCAAACATCCAATAAATACTAATATTTAACAGATACATATTATATAATATAATACAGCCATGCAGTTACTATTATTCTTTTCACTTTGCTTCCTTTCTGTATTACCACCTTTACGATGAGAAAGAGGCAGAGAGATGTCTCACTGGATGTTTCATTTATAGCTAATTATTTCATTCTCTGTTAATTAGGAAATTAGAAATGTGAATATGAACCAGAAAGTCCACAAACTCAAGAATAAGTCACTTGAGACTTGACTTGAACTGATGCTCTCTCTAGAGAGGTTTAGATGTGATTTGCAGCATAACATGCTGGTGAACTGCTCCCTAAAGAAGGGCAAAGATGTGCAATGTCGGGCTGAAAGTGGAAACGCTTGATGAGTGACGCACTAATATCTCATTACTCCGTAATGTCAAGTGTTGATATGTAATCCTCAGGAGCACCTGGAGCGTACTCCACGCTGATTAAAACCCATTCCCTCAGCACAACACGATCTGCACCGTCTCATCACGTATTAACTAAAGAACGAAGCTTTAAAGCGGGAATAACCCCGGATCACGAGAGTTGGAATACAGGGCCAGAAAAGTGCCTGTGGGTTTGTGGTGCCACAGACCAACTCATGGGAGTTTAGAGGTGGTTTTGGAACAGGTCTGGATATTCACCTCCACGGCACACTTGACCTGCTCCTCGAGATTGCTAATGGCGATTGCATCTGCTGTTGCGTCTCCTCCTGTTCCAGTGGACAGAGACTGCAACTGCTTTTCAATGGACATTCTCTGCTCTGCATGAAGCCTGCAAATAAAAAATTAATATACACAGTTATTGCAAAAGGTCAACCTTCGTAAACCTTTGGGAATTATCTGCGGACATGCTTTAATTTGTTCTGAAATATAAACGGACTTTCATGACGTCGAGGTCCTATTAATAGATTGGCAGGAGTACACAATCAAATTAAATCAGTGTCAGAAGAAAGTAGATACATTTAAAAGCAAGGTTTATAGTTTTTTCGTTAATTTTAATAGTTAATTTAATCATTTAATAAATGTAATCATTTAAGATTTAATTGTCATTTTGCTTTTCTTTTTTCATGTAAATATTGTTGGATCTGTTATGTTTAATTGCTTAAATTGTCATTTTGTGTTCTATTACTATTAGTGCTGTCAAATGATTAATCGCATCCAAAATAAAAGTTTTTGTTTACATAATATATGTGTGTGTACTGTGTATATTTATTACGTATATATAAATACACACACATGCATATGTTATGTTTATATATTAAATATATTTATATATAATATAAAATATAAGAATATAAATATATAAATGTATATACATGTAAATATTTTCTAAATATATACTGTATGTGTGTGTATTTATATATACATAATAAAATATACACAGTACACATACATATATTATGTAAACAAAAACTTTTATTTTGGATGCGATTAATCATGATTAATGGTTTGACAGCACTAATAACTATACAATACTGACAATTAGATCATGGTGGGGGTGCATGTTTTTCTAGTAGGGCCCTATGAAATCGGTTTAGATTTTTTTCCAAATTGAGTTTTATTTTAATTTTTTCAAATTTTTTTTGTGATAAAAAAATCAAAAGCATGTCTAACTGATTGAAATCATGAAACAATTTAACATCAATTTATTAAATATTTAACAAAAATGACATTTTTAAGGCCTATGACATATGTTTTCGATTTTTCCCCCCTCAAATTCAGTTTTATTCGTACCAAATTCTGTTGTTGTTTTTTTTTTCATTTAATTTTCTGGATTTAATTTTCATTACATTTTTAATAATCAAAAGCATCTCTAATTAAATAATCAATCAATTTGATAAATGTATTAATTATTATTTAATTTATATTTTCAGAAATACTTTGCAGTGTATTTACATTTTTCTGGTAAATATTCCAGAAAAACAACATTTTAATAATAATTGTATTATTTACAATTATATGTATCATTACATTAAGCAATAAGCAATTACTTAAGTAATTTCTGTCACAGTTTCTTCAAGTTAAACCAAACTTTTATTTTGACGGGTGGCTGTAAAGCCCTTTAGTTTTTGATTGCATATATATGACCATAGTTTTTCTCAAAAGAAACTGTAAAATGCTCATGAAGTGACTCTCAGAGCAGTTCTAAAGATTATGTTAATGTGTTCATGTACTCATATATTGAGGCAGCAGAGGCTGAAAACACAGCGAGTGCACACGCTTCAGTATGTGTGTGTAGTAAATGAAGCCGCGCGTCTGTGCCATTCATTCACACAGAGACACGCAGAACATGCAGGATCCTTATTTAAATAGCATTTTTGCGGCCTAATATTCTCAAAAACTAGTCCATATGGCGGTTTGATTTTAGTGCACTAACCTACTTTTGATTAATTCATCCAAAATTTGGCAAATTCTGTGAAATTCCACGTTATATAATACATTTTTGTGATTGGATTCCACGATTCCGTCCGCAATTTCCACATCGAAGAAATCATAGGGCCCTACTCTAGATTGGGGCACGAAACTTTCTCCCACAAATAAAGTGAATTTACATAAAGGGTGGGCTGTGATTACCAAAGCCACCTCATCCTGCGGTGCAGAAGCTGTTAGCACTGACTGACTCTGATAATAAATCAGTGGCTGGATGGAGAAATCAGCAGGAGATCCATTCGAAAGCTCTTACCGCTCATTTTCCTTAACCACCTGCTCCAGGCTTGCTTTGACGTCTGTCATCTGCCTCTGAGTGTTTGACAGGGAGAAACAAGCGTGTGAGTGAGTGAGTGGTGGGAGGAGGATGATGATTGAGAGAGACTGAGGGAAAGCGTACTCTTGAATGGCAAACTTATTATAGGACAAATTCACTTGACTTGGGATTAAACTGCACTTTAAAGCTGACAGCATGAAATCAGCCCCATCAAGCCCTGACAGTCATAAAACCTCACTGTAATGTGAGCATTTATGTTGTGTAAGCATTTGTGTTGGGTAGCAATGTGTACCTGATAGAACTTGAGCTGCATCTCCATCTGTTGTATGTGCCTGTCATATTCTTCTATTAGAGGAGCCATTAGACTGAAAACACACACCCAGGTCAGAAAACAACATCGTAAAACATTTAAGATTATAGGTTATTAACATTTAGGGTCCCATAATAGTGGATTACATAGCAGTACAGTTATAATAATACTGTAATTACAGTATACTACAATCAATAGTTTATCATTTTACATGTATTACATAATTAAAAAGAAAAAATTAATACTACATTTTATGTTTTCTAAATAAAGAAATATGCAAAAATATGAAAAAGTTGTCATCACAATAAAATAAGGTAAAAGGTGAGAAAATTAAACAGAACACAACAGCACACATTCAGTTCATACAAGTTCAGTACAAATTTCTGCCACTCTTTCAAAATGAGATAATTTAGTGACATGGTGTTCATGAAAAGGCCTCATTTTTTTGTTTAATTATGAACTGGATGCATGGTTAAAATAGTAGAGGACTTGAACCAGAGACTGTAGTAGCATGTTTTTTAAGGCCGTAGAGACTCACCCTCTGTCTGAGAGACAGGGAGCTGCAGATTCCATGACCACATCACCGGTCTAAAAAAAAAAAAAAAAAAAAAAAAAAAAAAGAAAAAGTCATTAAGCTATCATATGGCTTCAGAAGTAACATGACCCCATCCCCGGTCTAAAAAAAAAAAAAAAAGAAGAAAAAAAAAAGTGAAAGATTTTACAGATCTACAGATAATTTCCCAAGTCCTTCAAGCCTTTATTCTGGGTTTCTGCAGGGTTATGAATTTAAATTAAGACTTTTAAGACCTTTGTAAGACCAAGAAAACTTATGGAATAAATTGAATGGAACATGATACATCAGTATATCTTCATCATTGTTTTTGTCTTGTTTTCTAGTGCAAATGTCTAAAAGATTCTTGAATCATTTGCTTAAGAAGTAAAATGATATAAAATAAAGAGACGTGTTTACGGTGAAATTGATCAAAACAGAGTGAGCTTATTATTAAAAAAAGAAAAAAAATTTGCCAATGGGCTCAAGAAAACTACTTTTATTAAAAGGGAAAATAAGATTTCATACCCCACTGACGGACATGTGTTCTTGTTTTAAGCATAAACTCAATGTTGTTCAATTTACTCTGTAAACAAGACTTTATATGTTCTATCTGCATCTCAAGTACAGGTGCATCTCAATAAATTAGAATGTCGTGGAAAAGTTCATTTATTTCAGTAATTCAACTCAAATTGTGAAACTCGTGTATTAAATAAATTCAGTGCACACAGACTGA